ATCGTGCCCCACCTCCAGGCCTGGCTCCAGAGGGGGGCCCCGGTGACCCGCGTCCGGGCGAGGGAACGCCAGATCCAATGTTTGATTTCATCATAAGGGGTCTTCGGGCTGCGCTTTGTCTGGTTCCTCACCTAGGACCTGTCTGCCATGGGTGACCCTACCAGGGGCATAAAGCCCCAGACAGCATAGCTCAAATAACCGTGTTTGTATCACAAATGATGCAGTTTGTTTACAAGTAAAACAAATTTCCAATTATTTGTTAAACTACAGATTTCATTAGCTTTCAGAAAAACTTATTTGTAGCAGTTTTTAATTTTAAAAAGCATTTCTGAAGTTCTGCAATATTTGAATTAAATTGTTCAGTATAAACAATGTGATTTAGGAGTCTTTATACCTTGTCTAGGACTTAGTTTTATGAGTTAAACAACAAAAAACTGCAGGTTTTGAACTGAAACAGTCAAAGTTGACGAGGAAACGCTGATTTTATGAAACTGTAACTGAAACTCCTCGGCTGAACCGTGAAGCTGGGAAATATCTTGGCTCAAGAAACAAGTTATCGTCCTGCAGTTAGACTACTTCCTGTCTGAACGTAAACACAGCAGATGATTGAGAGGAGGAACCGGCTCAGACCCGGTTCTGGTGATGGATATTTCCCAGTGAGGTTGATGCCTTGGACTCTGAAACCTCCACTGGTTTCAGTGAAACATGAAAAACAAAACTGCATTTGTCTGATTCTCAGTACTTCTTTTTGATTTTAACACATTTTTAAGGTTTGCAGGTCCTGCAGGTACTCATTAAATTAACATTAAATATGACTCAATAAGTGCAAGTAGAAATAATTTTAAAGCTCACAAACTGTGTTTTTTTATGAGTTAGGATTACGTTTGTGTCACAAATATTAAGTAACAACATGTTAGAGGGGTTTGATTAATTAGCTCATACAGATAGGACTTAGAGCACGATTACTAAAATTTTGTTTTGATTGAATTTATATTTATTTTATATTTTTGGGAAAAAATAGTTTTACCTTGTATTTGATTAAGGGCATTTTTTCTTAATGTTCATTTTTGTTTTATTTTTAATTTTTTATAAATATATTTGTGTTAAAGTTAAAGTAGGATGTTTTTATTGTCTTTATTAGTCTTTTGTTGCAACACTTTAG